TCACTGTAACAGAAGTCAAATCAGTAGCAACTTGAGAAAACAGGAATGGAGAATGACTGCAAAGTGGTACAGGGAACTTTCCAGACTGAAATGGTTATTACATTGTTGTGTATATGTCAAAATTCATCAAACTGTAAACTTAAAATATGTACATATATACTGTATGTAAACTGTACTTCAACAAGTTGATTTTTTTAAAAAAGGTAAAACTGACTAAGCCAAAGGACAATGAAAAAACAAAGACCCTATTTGTAAATGAACATGACTACAGAATTGGGTTCAGACAAGATAGTTGAAAATAAAAATGAACACTTAATACACACCTAATAATATACAAGAAATATGGGTATATTTCATAATGAAAAAGACCAAAATGCAAAAGCCCAAAATATGTTGACTTATGACCATTGTTACCATTCAATCATTAATTACACAATTATATAAACATTTGGTTGAATAGTAATAATGCTGGATGTTGGAGATACAAACAAAACACAGTGCTTGCCTTCAAGAAACTTATAGTCTGATGGGAGAGAAATAAAAATCACAGGCAACTTAAACAATGAAAGGAATAACAGGCAGTGAGAGCTCTGGATGAATACTAGAGTTAGAGCCTTGGGGCAGAGAGGAGTCAAAGAAAGCTTTCCATTTCCAGAAAGACTGCCATGTAGCTGGAAGCTGGATTATTTATTTATCTATAAATATTCACTAAGCAGCCAGCATGTGCCAGGGACTGTGCTGAGTACCAGGTATACTTTAACAGGCAAAACAGAAAGAGTTGTTACCTTCACAGGGCCTAGAGTACAGACAGGGAGGCTGACAATAAAAAAGTAACAAGTGTAACAGGTATACCTAAAATTGGTGGTACATTCTATGAGGAGTGCTAAAATGAGGATAAACAAAAAGATACCAACTATAGATATGATGATCTGAGAAGAGGACAATTAAGCTGAGTTCTAAATGATGAGAAGAAGCCAACAATTAGAGTCACTTTAGGGAAAGAAAAAGCATACGCTAAGAGACAAAATTATGATGGCACATTTGGGTAACTTTAAATAGTTCAGCATAGTTTGACAACATATAAACTGAGCGTGAGACTATAAAAAGAAAGTGGTAAGAAATAAGGTCCAAGCAGTCAGTGAGACCTATTAATGAAGGACACTTTTGTGCCATATTATAGAGCTGGTTTGCTTTTCTTCCCCCGCCCCCCACTTTGGTTTGTTTCAATTACCTACTTTACTCAAAATACTCATCACAACTACAAAAAGGAAAAATTCATGAAATAAAAAGTCAAGTGCAGTAACATTAATGTCAGATATTTAGAAGAGATACACTTAAAAAGGAGAAGAAAACTAGATTTAGAAAAAAAATTACAGGACACTGAAGGGAGAAACATTTTACTATAAAGATTCAGGGGAAAAAAAAAAAAAAACCAAGTAGCAAAAATCCAAACATAAAACTGACATAAAAGAATCATAAAAATGGTAACATCTGGTTCTTGTTCTAATTTTTAAATTAATAATTCAGGGGTATAGAAAGACACACCTGAATCTAAAATGACCAAACCTTATAACCTTCATGTGAAAAAAAAAAAATTCCAAAATAGGAACAATCTACATATTTTGATAAAAAAATTTTTAAAGAAAAATCAGACTAACAGTATTTTAAATTAAGTTTTGCTGCTAATTAATTACTCGGACAGGATGCTAGGCCAGACTACATGGTGCTTCTAGTTTTTCTATATACTCTATGCATTTCTGATAAATGGGGAAAGAATAGATGACCTGGCAGAAGGCTCAGACAATAATATGTGATTTACAGGACATGAATGCAGCTACCATAAGATTTATCTGACAGCCCTCTCCGATAGTGGACTGTTGAGTATCCGATGGAATGATTTCTAGTCTAGAAAGTCTACTACTGAGTAGCCATACACATTATTTATTTATTAGATGTTTTGGGTTGAAACCATTTTTAAATGATGCACTTCACAATGCACAGTCATAAATTTAGCTTTAAACCCAAGAAGGGAGGTAGTGTTATTGGAATGTATGTCAGACTGAATTAGGATGAGCAAAGCAACGCTTTTATAAAGTGGCCTTGAATGCAATGTCAATTCTTTCAAAAATGATATTAATGTCAAATGAGCATGATACAAACACTTTACACAATGCTAGAATAATATTACTTGAAATATTTAGCATTTCCTTTAAATTCATATAGATTTCTACAGGGTTTATACACATATACAACAAATACTAGGCACAAATAAGTTACATGCTTGTGAAAAACTAAATCTGAAGTATAAATGAGAGTTTGTTCAATTTTTTTCTACACATCAGAGAGTACACAGTTTCCTGAAGAATGTATACAATCTTATTTTAAAGAAGTAAAAAAAAATTAAATCAAGCTTTGAAGTTTAAGTAGCTCTTGAATTATTTTACATGGGATTCAATATATGAATAAACCTAATTTAATAAATCTTCAGTATTTGACTTTACTCAAAAATGTAATGCTGAGTATGTAAAGAAAGCTTTTCTACTCTAAATAACAGGATTTTTACCTTAACAATGTTAAAATGTAAATGAGATAAAATATGAAATGGTGTCTAATCAACCTAATAATGAATAAGTGAATATTGAAAAATATAATCTAAGTTGAAGCTTCAAGAAAATATATAGTGATCTGTTTAGTTTTAATGACAGCAAACCAAATGTGATCATTACCACATTTCTTAAATTTAGGCCCTAATCTTTCTTTTGTAATAAAATGTGGCTAATTTAAACACCTTGTTAAAAAGAATGAAAAAGAAAGTAAGTTCTGAATGGATTCAAAAAAAATAATCAGAACATGGCTGACTGTCATGAAATTAACACCAACTAATTTGTAAAGTTTTAAATCAAATTTGCAGATGTTAAGTTCATAAGCATATCCCATTATTTATGTGATTAAAAAGGAGTTTTTGACCTGATCTTTCGATCTTTGGCATTTAATCCTCTCCATCTCCCCTTAAAAAATTAATTAAAATTTTAGCAATATGCTAGCTTTTCACTTCCCACCCTATCTCAGACTAAAAAAAATTATCAATCAAACTCAAGTCATCCCCACCCAGTATCTGCAAAATGTCGACTTCAAATTCAATTTCATATCTCTTAAGCTTTCATGTAGAAAAAGACAGTTCACTTCTTAACAAAATAAATCACTTTTGTGATTGCCAATCTGACCTCTTTGAATTAGGAAAATTCAAAGTGAAAAATGTAATTATCACCCCGGAACAATCTGTATACATCTGGAGCTAATTCTGGCTTCATTTTTCACATCATTTTTCACACTGTGCTACATCTTACAGAGATGCCATGGAACTTTTGAAGAACTCATAAAAAATGGTAAGGACTTCAAATAACCAATAATGTATTTGATTTTATTCACACAAAAATCTTGAGAATATCTGACTTTTGCAACTTACTCTACTAAGTGATCTTCATATCCTATTTGATTGGATTAGTATTAAACAGCACTTTGACATACATGATAAATAGGTGCATTAAAACATGTCATTCTTCATCTTTTTAGCTTCTAACATTCAGCTATGTAATACACTATCTGAAACCACTTTGATGTATCAAGAATATATTCAATTCTTCTAAACTAGAAAGTGGAACTTTGTTATCAAAATTCACCTATGAAACAATTGTATCAGTATAAACAATTTCATACTCTGTGAAGAAACATCCAAAATGGTAAGCAAATGCTTCTTAAAAGTAAGGGTAATTTTGTATTGGTTTAAGAATGGCATATGGTAATTTAGATCCAAGAAATAAACAAGCAATTATTTCAAATCAGATTAATTAATGAAAAATTTTCTACATTAAGCTTTTTAAAGGAATGGAGTTTTCTAAAGGAGATGATTAAATTATAAAAACACGATTCTTGCTAAATCTAAGAATAATAAGCTCACTAGAAACATAACTAGTCCTCACAAGTTCATTATAAAAATCCATTAGGTGTAACCTCTAGAAGTAATTGTTCTTATTGCATTTTATTGACAATGCATAGTATTGATTTTTCACACCTTCTATGATTCTTTAATTTGTATTCATGAAATGTCCATCAGCACAGTCTAAATAAATTTGGCAATATAGGTGCTAAAATGAATAAATCGATGCAAAGAAACATTAATTTTGCATTATCCTTATTCGTCAGGCAAGTAAACTACAAGAGTTGTAAATGAAGGTCAAAGGTTTTGAAATGGGTCAGAACCCTTGACCTCTAGACCAATATCCTTCCTATTAAAAAAGGCTATTTTAAAGTTTTAAGTAGGGGAATTTACTACCAGCAAGATATCATTTTTAAAAGACTACAAAGAAAACTCTCAATAAAAACATTCATCTGTTTAATTGCAAAACAGAAAAGAAAAAACATTAAAAGATACATGATTTTTATGTAAGTTTTCTAAAACTCATTAAAGTTTACCACATGAGGTATAAAATTTCTGAACACTGAAAGCAATTTTGCTTTAGGAATTTATTTACTACATCTTATTATGATGGCTGCCATATTTTTGTTGATGTTTTCCCAAATCTACTCTGTATGTCAAAAATAATTAGCAATGACAAGAACTCAAAATTATTTATCACTCATTTTATAACCTCTACACAAAAGGGAAGTAAACCCATTATTCCTAGGGGAGTCAGAGTGGCACTCCACAAGGTACAAAAATAAATCTGTTTCTATAACCTTAATATATGCAGCAAAGAAATTTAGCCACCTCAAGATCATTTGCTCTAGACATTTTTTAATGTGATTCTAAAAACCTGTTTCTCATTCTTCTGTTCCCTCTCAGCATTCACTACAAAATTATCTGCTAGTATCAAAGAAGTAATCCTTTTGCAATACAAATAAAATTATTTTAAAACTGCAAACTTAAACTCTATTATAGCAAAAATTTCTACTAAAACAATTATAACTTCCTTGTAAAATAAATTCATGCAAGAATTTACTTTTAATCCAACATTTATTCCTGTTACTCACCTGAGAACACAGTAGCATAACCAATTCCACAACCGAACTACTAGACTTCATGCAAACCAGACCTATTTTAAAGAGAATTTAAAAGAAAAATTACAAAAGTAAAAAACAAATATGAGGGATTTGTTATACAACTTTATCCAAATGGTTTTTAAAACAAAATTTAATATCTTGCTAAGAACCAAACCCACACACATTTGATCATATGAGTAAACAAGGTACTGCGTAATTACTTTAAACTTGGTATCAAAACTACCGCAATTTTATTTGTAAACTATTTCATTTCAGTATTCAATCTACCAAAACATTAGAACTCCATATATAATGACATTTCACAATACTTAGAAATGTGCACAACATATGCCATATTGATCAATATCATCTACATTTTGTTTTGGAGAGAGTTGATTGTTATACATGCAGAGAAGGGAAATGGCTCCCTGACCTTTGCTTTCTCCACCACACTCTCTCCCTTCAACCCTCTAGCTATCAATCAAGTTTCCATTTTGTTTCATGGCAGCAGACATCCCAAAGACTCTTATTAGTACCTTGACCTGTGACCTCACACTAAACCTTAACAGAAGTGCAAGCGTTCTGTTATATATTCTTGATTTCTTATAAATAAATTCATTTACATTTTCTCTTCTGTTTCATTTGCGTTCACCAAAAATATCTCGGGAAGGAACTTCTAAACAATTAATACATATCTAAAGACTTACTAAATGTTACCAACAAAATCTATAAAAGTTCATTCAAAGAACACTTCATAACCAGTATGTTAAAAAAGCAATGCCCATAATTAAAAGCACTAAATTACATTACTAATAATCAGAAAAATTGTAATTTTTCATTCTATATTTTTCTAAGCAAACACAAGTTTAGAATCCAGGGTGTAACAACTAAAATAATTCCTGGTGGCCCCTGATATGCGCTACACAATTATCTTCTTTCTTTATTCCCATGAAAGCTCTTGCAGGCATCCCATCCCTTCCTAATCTTTCTTTTATGTTCTCGCTCTGTAGTTCTTTTTCCTTATCTCTTTTAGTCATGGGGCCTCATACCTACTGATGGCACACACTGCCATTCTGTAGCCTTAAAAATAGCATTCACGTTAAATAGGTTGCTCCCCCCGCTTCACTTTTGAGAAAAGAACCATGTTTCTCAATGTCTGAAAAAAATGTGTAACATAGAAATAATGATGATAATAGTGTCAGCACCAGCATAAAAATTAGCTACAGAGTATATACATGTTGCATCAAGAAAGCAGGTCATTAACTTAGACTAAATTATGGTTTCTATAGAGCTGAAATGGGCATAGCTCTGAAGGCTACTACCAAGGCCAAAAGGAAGGGCATAGCAATAGTCCATCTCATTGCTGGTGTAGCCCTCTGCTGGTCTGAAACTTTGTCACTTTACATAAAACGTAAACAACCAGGAAGTTCCATATACTTCAACTTCCAAAAAGTAAACTCGTATCTTTCTTCATGTAGGCCATTATTCCTAACTGCTCTATTCTAAAGAAACCAGAATTCCTACCAACTTTCCTTTAATGGCAAAACATTTGGGCTCTGATCTTGCTCAGCCTTTTTTATCCACTCAGAAAAAGACCAATAATGATAAAAAAGGCCTTGGGCCATCCAAAGTTAGAACTCAATGATCAATGAGTTGAGTGTTCAGTGATGATAAAATAAGTAACATTTCATAGTTTGATTAGAACAATTTATGTGTTTTTTGGAATGGGGTTTTGTAGATTTGTGAAGGATGGGGAGGAGGGTCAAGGCGGATGGTATATTAAATTTTAAAAGAGAAAGGGCTTTAGAGGACAAAAAAGACCTTATATTAGATCTCTAATAATAAGCTCCCTGTCTAAAGGGCATTAATACTGTAAACAAAAATATATAACCTTGGGCCCCAACAAATAAGAAATATCACCAAGAAAGGACTTGGTATCAGGCTGCACAACTTAATCATCTCTCTTTCTTTCTCTCTCTCTCTCTCTCTTGCCCTTGGGTGACATATGAAAAAGGAAGAAATGAATTATAAACCAATAAATCTGTCTTCAGACTCCAAGAATTATCCAAAGGAAGGCCTTAAACAATAGTGAAGTTCTAAGTTGCTGCAGAAGTATTTTCATTTATACACACACACATCCTATTATTGCTCCAGTTAGCAGAAAGCGAACAAGGTACTGTAGCCTCAGAGACCTGTAGGCTCCTAATCCAACTTCCCTAAAAGACTCTCAGAACAATGGTAAGGTTCATTTTGCTTGGTTTTATTTTTGGTTCGTTTTTCAAAGATATGCAATTTTAATCTCTTCAAAAAAGACAAACTCAGGATACCAAAGCCAAGAGTTTTATACTCTTCTGGAGTTTCATAACCAAAGACGACTATAATTTCTTCACCCAAGACTATTTACCCCACCTCCATTATCAATGCTTTTCCTTATTGCTAAATTCAGAAATATTAAATGTCTTACCAGATATTAAGCTGGCAACATAACATCTGAACCCATTGATCTGTCTAAACTTTCAAGTAGACCAAGAAAAACAGTCACGACCATTTGCCATATTTAAGAAGTCTTTTTAAAAATACATATTTTAAGTCAACTTAGTTTATATAAAAAGAGATTACAAACATTATTAGAAGTTTTAATAATAATTTAAGCAAAATGAACTCAAATTCTTATTCTGTATTTTTCTGGTTTTAAAGGTATTTGTATAGGGTGCCTTCATGGCTCAGTGGTTAAGCGGCTGCCTTCAGGTCAGGTCATGATCCCAGGGTCCTGGGATCGAGTCCCACATGGGGCTCCCTGCTCAGCAGGGAGTCTGCTTCTCTCTCTGCCCCTCCCTACTCCCGTTTATGCACACACGTTCTCTCTCTCCACCCCCCACAAAAATAAATAAAATCTTTTTTTTTTTTTTTAAGATTTTATTTATTTTTTGAGAGAGAGACAGTGAGGGAGGGAACACAAGGAAGGGGAGAAGCAGGCTTCTCGAGCCTGATGTGGGGCTCGATCCCAGGACCCCGGGATCATGACCTGAGCCGAAGGCAGACGCTCAATGACTGAGCCACCCAGGCGCCCCAAAAATAAATAAAATCTTTAAAAAAAAAAAAAGTAAAGATATTTGTATATATCCTATATGAGCAATGCCCTTTGAATACAACTAACTACTCCTCACCAATCTATAAACATGATATCCACCTTGTAAATACTAATTCCAAATTTCAAATAAACCTCTAATAGGTTCCAGCTTATCATTAATTCTGGTCCTTTTTCTTGAACTTACATCATCAAATGCAGTACTTTGGAAAAACTGAATCATTCAAAAACTTTGTTGAAGACCGCCACCTTCTTTGATCCAGAATTATATTTTCTTCTTTAGACTTTCAAACACCATTTAGAATGATCAATCCACTGATTTTTTTCATTTCTACATGAGCTTTTCCTTCCAATCATTTTCATGTAATACACCTGCCTTTTTTATTCACTTAGAAACTGTGCCAAGTAAATTGTGGTGTGGAACTATCAAAACCATGGAAGAACACTGTCACGCACCTTTTTAGCAAAATAAGATGTTCCATGGTCTTGTCAGAAAACATTGCATAAATTTTGTACAAAGAAGTCCTTTCTATTGAATGACATACTAAGAAAACCAATTTCCTTTTTGTCCACAGAAATATACTATGCACTAATGAATTCTTGAGTTTGATAAAAATTTCTGAGTGCTGCTCACTCTTTTTAAATTCATCCTCAGATGGTCTAATAATTATAAAATGTCTTCTTCTATCAATTTTTTCACCTTATCATTAAGGGCAGAAAATGAACGATTCTGAATTCTTAAATTCAGTGAAAGCTGAAAATAAGACCACAAAATGGTGTCCACAAATTTCTTTTACATCGATTACACCAGTATTTCTCAATCTTTTTTTTTTTTATTATTGCTCCCCACTAGGAAGCTATTTCAGACCATTTTTTTCTTAACTGCACCCCCATGAAATTTTAATACTAAAGATATACTATATAGATGTACTGTGGCTCATTGGAGGGTCAAAAACCATATGATACCTAAAATATTTTTGCCCTCCCCAAATACCAGTTTTTGTTCCCACTGAGAAAACAAATTTCTATCTTCTTAAAATATGATCCAGTACTTTGGGAAATGCAGTAAACAGAGGGTGAGCCAAAAGTGAGGATTTATTTTCTAGGGGTAATTCCAGTATTCTTGTCTTCTCATTATTTTATAGTCCTTACTATAGTAGGAATAACTGATGAATAATGGCGAAATAGTAAAATGTTTTAAGGTATAGGAAAATTAAGATCACAAAGACCCCATAATAAATCCTAGATTTATAAAAACATGTCCAATGAACTTACATATGGTATGGTAAGATAGAATAAATTTTATTTTTTAAGTAATTTTCTGGTTTTGAAAGACCTCTTTAAAAAAACAAAATTAGGGGCACCTGGGTGGCTTGGTCAGTTAAGTGGCTACCTTCGGCTCAGGTCATGATCTCAGGATCCTGGGATCAAGCCCCAAGTCGGGCTCCCTGCTTAGCAGAGAGTTTGTTTCTCCCCCTCTCTCTGCCCCTCTCCTTGCTTGTGCTCTCTCTCTCAAATAAATAAATAAAATCTTAAAAAAAAAAGTCATAAAATATCAATCCTTAAAAAAGGTTGAAAAAGAGGGTTAATATCACTAAAGTTAAGACAATCAGAAAATATATGGTTCTAGGCAAGATGTAATAGGAAGTGTTACCTCTAACTAAACTTTTAAATCTAATCGCAAGCCATCAGAAAATATATGGGACAGAGAAACCATTAAAACCATCAGGAAACAATGGCCACAGAGTGCCAAAATATGTAACATTCTACAGAACAACCAACCAGATTTCTTCAACAAGCCAATATAATGAAAACAGAGGGAAAAAAACAGAGAAACTATTTGATATTAATAGTATAACCAAATGCAGCAAATTGATTTTGTATATTAATTAGAAGAAAATGATTTATAAAAAGACATTTAAATAAAGATGAATATGAACCGAGTATTATATGACATAGAATTATTATCAATATTAGGTGTAATCACCGCAGTTATGATTGTGTAAGAAAATATCCTTTTTACATGGATTATTAATTATTTAAGGGTAAAACGACATAATGTCTAGAACTGTTTTAAGTACTAAAGCAAAATAAAGGGAGGTAGATAATAACAATTATAGCAAAACAAAGATGGTTTGGGAGTTGGTAATAAGTTCATGGTTATTTTATTTTCTACTCCGTAAATATTTAACATTTAAAATATTTTAAATTAAAAAAATCATTTAAGATGAACCATGAGAGACTATGGACCCAGGGAAACAAACTGAGGTTTCAGAGGGGAGGGGGGTGGGGGGACGGGGTAACCGGGTGATGGGCATTAAGGAGGGCACGTGTTGTGATGAGCACTGGGTGTTATACACAAGTAATGAATCATTGAACACTACTATAGTACTATACAGTGGTTAACTGAACATAATAAAAAAAGTTAAAATTTAAAAAAATGTAGAAGTAATAAACTTCTCAAGTGTCTGGTCATACAACCAGTGATTGACAAAGGCAGGATTAAAACCAAGGTCTCCTGTCTTTGAGACTAGTGCTTTTTGTACAGTACCATGCTGCTAACACTTCTACTCAAACTTTTTTACAATGCACAAAAACCACCCACCCAAAACATTTCTCACAACTTAAAATACACACATAAGATGCATAAAACTTCTAGATTTCTTTTGCCAACGTTATGAACACAGTCCAATGAGTAGGTACTGCTCAGGTTTATAGGTAAGCAAGAGTGCATCATATTCCTTGTTATCAGTTTAGCAGAACTTACTAAGAAACTGATTCTAAATTAAATTTTGTTCAGAGATCTAGAATTGGCAAGTTTAGTACTTCTGAGTATCTTGTTGGATCTATTATAAAATTCAAAGACCAACTAAAAAGCAACAATGTCTTGCTACACCAAAAAGCTGTAATTAATAATTCATTTTACAGTAATGAAATATAGCTCATAAGTCATCACACCACTTTAAAAAATAAACATTTAACATGTGAAGTATAAATTAGTCCTTCAATTTTTCAATTAATTATCTTTCAAATTTTATTACTTCATTAGATCAAATAGTCCATGAATGGCTGAATAAATTATATCCTTCAGCAGATAAAGTAAATTTCTACCCCAAATTAATTAAATATTTCTAAAACCTGAACTTTTTCAAATAAATTCAATGCTACTTTTTCCCCCCTGTGGAAATGAGATCACTCATCACCAAATCCATATACATGTATAGCACAGATGTTAATGAAATTCCTATTTCAGCTAAAGCTTATTCTTACAAAGTGTTCATATCCTTCAATTAATGCTAAGATAAAAGAGTATCTTAAACTATTAAACTACCTCTACCTTACATTTCCATATTCTTATTTGTACAAAAAGAGTGGTTTTTTGGGGCGCCTGAGTGGCTCAGTTGTCAAGCGTCTGCCTTCGGCTCGGGTCATGATCGCAGGGTCCTGGGATCGAGCCCCGCATCAGGCTCCCTGCTTCGCGGGAAACATGCTTCTCCCTCTCCCACTCCCCCTGCTTGTGTTCCCTCTCCCGCTGTCTCTCTCTCTCTGTCAAATAAATGAATAAAATCTTTAAAAGAAAAAAAAAAGGTGGTTTCTTACAAGTTTTAAGAAATTCCTCAAGAGATCATCTTACTCAACAAAAATTTATAACTAAAGCTGTAAATTGATACTTTAAGACACCAGAGTCAGAAAATTACATTTTCCCATGATTTTTCAGCTTTAGGAGAATCAAAGTGTTTTATCGTAAACTATCAACCAAGGACAAAGACAAGCCAGATTTAGCAAACTTCTAGTCCAAACACTTCTAAATAAAAAAATCAATCCTATATTATTACTGATGAAAGTCCTCTAGCTTATCCTTAACTAATTCTAGTTATAAGGATGAAGATTGGTATTTTGAAGTCAGTCTATTAAGCTCTTAACTAGAATTGTTTGAAAAGCTATTCTCTTTTGAACTGATATCTGCTGTCAGAGATAGCACTTGGCTGTGTCACCCATTCTAATATTAGAAGATATTTACTACATGCCAAATGCCCCATATTAAAAAAAAAAAACCCAAATACTTCTCATTCATTCCATAAACAGAATGGTTTCCAATCCACTCAACAACCAACTTTGCATGCTATCTAGTTTGACACCATCTCAAAGTATACTACCTATAAATGATCCAAGAATCTATGTATAAGTAGGATAGAGTACTACTGTTACTTCTACTCATTTATAAAACAGAATTCTACTAATAAAGATTAGTAACACATTCCTCATTTCCTAATATTGGCAATACACTATTGTTTATATGGACCTTAAGTTCAAGTAAAATCCCAGGTAAATGCCCACTAATTACTACAACACTAATTTTTCCAACTCTCCATTCTCATAGTTCCTTTTAATGCTTTAAAAAAAGAAGTCTAAGTCGTAGTTCTTTGGTTCAGTACATACTTTTCTGCTTCACCCAAACCACTGATTAAAAAATCCAAATCAGATTAGAATATTAGATGAGACATATTTTTCAGAATACAGACTCCATAAGAAATCTTATCAAAGGCTGAAAATACTTGAACAATGAAACTCCATGCATCTCATATTATCCATTTAACCTTGAAAGTTAAATATAAATTTAAATATATATTTATGTAAAGTGACATACAGAAAAATCACTTACTTGTTCCTTCTATAAGCAGTTCTTGTCCATGACTACCCAGAAGTGTCCGAGAAAGAAAAGGTGCAAAATCCACAAAAATCTCTCGCAGAAGAGGAGCTGCCTTTTCCAAAGCATGTTCAAGCTTCTCTGTAATACTAATGGAAAGATGCTATATGAACTATTCATTAGAATTTACAATTTTTAGTTTTTAAAATGAGTTTCCACAGAAATGTAAAATTCATGAGAAATTAAAAATTACATAAAGACTCATTATTGCTATACATATCATTCCTTCTGCTGGAATACCCTTTATTATTAAGTTCTATACTACCACCCCCAGCCCTGACAAACAATCTGATAAACAACTGCTCTAAGCATCAGCTCTTATTGGAAATCTTAATGGGTCAGTTGAGAGCACTTGATTTTAACACCATTATGACCTAAAAAAACTCTGCCAAATCCTTATCAAATTTGTCTATTCATGGGGCACCTGAGTGGCTCAGTCGGTTTAAGCATCAGCCTTCGGCTCAGGTCATGCATGATCTCAGGGTCCTGGGATAGAGCCCTGCATTGGGCTCCTTGCTTTAAGTGGACTCTGCTTCTCCCTCTCCCTCTGCCCCTCCCCCAACTCGTACACACACTCTCTCTCAAATAAAGTCTTTAAGAGAAAAAAATTTGTCTATTAATAAACCATCAACACCTTCAGTTCAAGAATTATGCTTTCATTTCTAAGTTCTCAGCTGCAGCATACACCATAGACTCCATAAATATTTATAAACTGAATTAGTTTATATTCTTTTTTCATTGACATCTTTATCTCTAAGAATTTTTTTCTAAAGCAATCTGAACAACTTTTCATTTGAAATTAGTATACTTTACTGGCACATTTATAATGATCTCAATTTACATATTAATATGTCTTTGTGACTATATGCACATATACTCATACATGTATGTATACACACATAAACACATATACAAGCACACAAAAATATATATTTAATGAGTTAAAATAAACAAGCTCCCTGCATTTCAGGAAATTCAGAGGTATCCACAGCTTTAGTTCCTAACTTATAAATGAAACATATATACAAACAGCCACTACTTACCTATTTATTCACATAAGGAGTTCTTCATAATACCAACAAGAGTTGCTACTGAAACTGTCAACTGTTAAGCTGATGGAAATTTCTTCTGCCAAATAGCATCTCGTCCTAGATACTACCCTTAATACTATTCCTCTCTACTTAGAGAGATTCACCTCTGGATAGTATCACAACTACAAGATTACACTTACAGCACTCTAGTGTCTATATTTGTAGAGTGCTATGGATTTTCCAGTTGTGGAAGGAGGATCAAGAACTCTGATCACGAAGGCTTTAGTGGTAGAAAATATTCACAGCATTCCAACGTAGAATTTGAAATGCATATTCCCAATTTAAAAAGGTTAATGACAGTAAAAATCTACCTACTATTCAGTTTCACTGTGGCTTTTGTTGACTGCCTTTAACTTATTTCAGCATTTTTGTAGAAAACGAACAATGAATTCTAAATTTCCAGTTTATAATCATATGAAACCTAAGTCATAAGTTACTACTTGTGTAATTAAATATTTGTTTTGCATGCAGCACTTACTAATCACAATAGCCACTTCTCATAAACCTTTTACATCTCATAATATTTAAAAAGGAACTTCTAAAATAGTCAAGCCTCTAAATGTCACTTATGTTTTTAAAAAAAGAAATAGACAAAAGAAAGTTAAAAAAAGAACAAAAGAACTGTAGCTAGACAGTTTAAAGAGTCATCAAATGGAATAAATCACAAATATCCAAGTTAATAGCTTTAATACCTCATATTTGAAACTTGGTCTTGTGGAACTGAGCCAACTGTTGGCACCGAGGGCAATTTTGCATTAGATGATCTACCACCTATAAAAGAAAATAACCATTTACAGGAATTTTCTGTTTTTAGATAAAGGTTCAAACAAAGAAGCTATCTTTACACCATGTCAACAAAAAACATTACAATGCATTTTTAAATGTCCATTATAATTTGGATAACATTAAAATCTATCAATTAACGAGGTCTTTCTTTAATCATTTAACATGTTTGATTATTACACCAAGTTTGATTTTTACACCAAGTAACCTATGATCCATCAGCTGCAATGGATACAGAAAACTAAATTCTGACTCCCTAAATTGGAGTCATGAATGCTTCTATCCAACAAGTGGCGACAGAGATTTACAAATAGAAACTTTTTAAAATTGAAGCAAAAAGCATAAACAGCTAATTCCAAATTTAGCCTCAAGCACATAAACCTCCACTTCCATAAAAACTGACCTTATTCGGTCACTTACGCTATAGCCTGACTGCTTCTGAGTCTATCCTAACAAACATAACCCAGTAAATACCTGAGAAACCTTTCTTAAATGATTCAAATAGAAGTTATACTTCCTCATTTGTATCCTCAATGTAATTAGAACATAACCTGTTGGTTTATTTGTCACACTGTATTTCAATTGATTTTTTAAATATCCTTCTTCCTACTATACTCATCTACTAGACCTCATCTTTTTCATTCATCTCTCTCTAAGCCTAGAGAAGTTGACAAAAGAAGGTCCTCAATTTATGTTAATTTTAAGCTGAAATTATTCCCTTAATCATTCCCATCTCCCATATTTTACAGGTCAATCTTCCCACCTGGAATATACTTCTCTATTTCCTACTTTTTTATGTCCATCTCTCTGTTCAAACTACTGTGTAAAATTAATTTCTACCATGTGATCTTATTTTACTCTCCAATGAATACTTCCAGATACCCTTAAATACTCTTGTATATTTTGTTGAATGGCCAATTCATCCTCTTATATTACAAAATGTTCAAACTCTTTTATCCTATACAAGAATTATCATCTTTGTTTTCAACAAATAACTGTTTACTTGGCAAAAGAAAAATAATCACCAGAAAAGTAACTCTGGAAGAGTAAAACAACAGATAGGCACAAAAACAACATACATTATGACAAGTCTTGAAAGAGTGAATCTAGAAGACTAATTTGTAGGATAATTTACTGAGGCTTAAGGAGTTCTAAAAGCTCAAGAAAGAAAAGGGAGGGGAGGAGCAAGATGGCGGAGGGGTAGGAGACCTAAATTTCGTCTGGTCCCAGGAATTCAGCTAGATAGGGATTAAACCATTCTGAACACCTATGAACTCAAAAGGAGATCAAAGAAAAGAATAGCAGCAACTCTCTGAACAGAAAAGCGACCACTTTCTGGAAGGTAGGACGTGCGGAGAAGTGAATCCGAGGCGATATTTGGGAAGACAGATGGCAGGGGAGAGGGCCTCCGTTGGCCGCTTCTGGCAAATGATAGAGCCGCAGAGCCCAAAATCGGAACTTTTAGAAGTTGGCTCCGCTGAGGGATGTCGCTCCAGTGACTAAGCAGGGGGTGGAAACCTCTCTGGACAGTGTGGTCTCAGGACCCTCAGGGTCACAGAAAGACCGGGGGTGCCTGAGTGTGGCAGAGCTCCCAGGTATCGGAGTGGGGAAGCCGGCTGTAGAGACGGAGCCAAGGAGTGAGCTCTCAGCTCGGGGTTGCCATAAACCATGATCCGCAGCACAGTCAGGCCACTGCTCCTCCAGCAAGGACCCAACAAGCGACAGATCGGGGAGACTCCCCTTCCTCCCCCGGGAGAAGCAGTGCGACAAGCACCGCAGGGATCTGCTGGGTTTGGAGACTCCACACGGGGTAGTGAGCCAGAGAAAGAAACGCTGGGTTACAGGCCGGGTGAGCGCGGAGTGCAGCCAGAGACTGGGGAGACGGGAGTGACTGCTTTTCCCTGGGGGCGCACTGAGGAGTAGGGCCCCGAGTTCTCGGCTCCTCCGGGGTGCAGACTGTGAGGCCGCCATTTTCACTCTCGTCCTCCAAAGCTGTACGGAAAGCTTGCAGGAAACAAAAGCTCCTGAGAGCAAACCCGAGAAGATTACATAGCCCAGTCAGGCAAGGGCGAGGCAATTCCACCTCTGGCAAAGACATTTGGGAACCACGGCAAAAGGCCCTTCCCCCAGAAGATCAGCAAGAATAGCCAGCCAGGACCAAGTTTACCGATCAGTGAGAATGGCAGAACTCCAGCACTAGGGGAATACTGCACATAGAATTCATGGCTTTTTTACCATGATTCCTTAGTCTTTCAAAGTTAATTTTTTAAATTTTTTTTTAATTTTTCTTTTTCCCTTCTTCAACCAACATCTTATCGATCCCCTTTTTAAAAATCTTTTTTATTTTTCATTTCTAAAGTCATATTCTATCCCTTCATAGTAGTTAAGCTTATTTTTATATATATTATATGTATATTATGTTACATATAAAATATATATAATATTATATATATGTATATTATATACATATATGTTGTTCTCTCTTTAAAATTTTGAGATACAGTTTCTTCTAACAGACCAAAATATACCCTAAATCTCTAGTATATGGCTTTGTTCTGGTCTCCTGCCTGATCACATTCTTTTTTTTTTTTTAAATCCTCTTCTTTATTCAACCAACTTCTAATCTTATCAATTCCTTTTATAAAATCTTTTATAATTTTCTTCTTTACAGTCATATTCCATCCCTTCCTTGTATTTACCTTTATTTTTCTACATATAAAAGCTTTTCTTTCTTTAAAATTTTGGGAGGCACTTTCTTCTAACAGACCAAAATATGCCCAAAATCTAGTGTGTGGCACAGATCTTTGCACCAGCCTGATCATATTTGATCATATTCTCTTTTTTGTTTGCTTTATCTTTTTCTTTTTCTTTTTTTTTTCTTTCTTTCCCTTTCTTTTCCCCCGGTTTCAGGTCTCTTCTGATTTGGTTAGTGTGTATTTTTCTGGGGTCTTTGTTGCCCTGTTAGCATTTTGTTCTCTAATGCATCTATTGTCCTCTGGACAAAATGACAAGACAGAAAAAATCACCTCAAAAGAAAGAACAAGAGGCAGTACCGACTGCAAGGGACCTAATCAATATGGAATTTAGTAAGTTGTCAGAATGACGATTTTAAAGATAGTAGCTGGGCTTGAAAAGAGCATGGAGATATTAAAGAAACCCTTTCTGGAGAAATAAAAGAACTAAAATCTTATCAAGTCGAAATCAAAAAGGCTATTAATGAGGTGCAATCAAAAATGGAGGCTCTAACTGCTAGGATATATGGGGCAGAAGAGAGAATTAGTGATATAGAAGACCAAATGATGGAAAATAAAGAAGCTGAGAAAAAGAGAGATAATCAACTACTGGATCAGAGGGCAGAATTCGAGAGATAAGTGATACCATAAGACAAAACAATATTAGAATAATTAGGATCCTAGAAGAAAAAGAAAGAGAGAGAGGGGCAGAAGGTATATTGGAGCAAATTATGGCAGAGAACTTCCCTAACTTTGGGGAAAGAAACAGGCATCAAAATCCAGGAGGAACAGAAAACCCCCCTCAAAATCAATAAAAATAAGTCAACACCCTGACATCTAACAGTAAAACTTCGAGTCTCAGAGACAAAGAGAAAATCCTGAAAGTAGCTCGGGAGAAGAGATCTGTAACCTACAATGATAGAAACATTAGACTGGCAACAGACCTATCCACAGAGACCTGGCAGGCCAGAAACGACTGGCAGGATATATTCAGAGCACTAAATGAGAAAAATATGCAGCCAAGAATATATATCCACCTAGGCTGTCACTGAAAATAGAAGGAGAGATAAAAAGCTTCCAGGACAGGGTGCCTGGGTGGCTCAGTCGTTAAGCGTCTGCCTTTGGCTCAGGTCATGGTCCCGGGGTCCTGGTACCAAGACCCGCATCGGGCTCCCTGCTCAGTGGGGAGTCTGCTTCTCCCTCTCCCACT